CCCCCCCCCCCTCTCTCTCTCTCTCTCTGCCTCTCTCTGCCTCTCTCTCTGCTCTTCCCTGTTCTCCCCTTCCCTTCCATAACCCACTAAATAAATATCCAACCTCATTCGGTATGGCATGCCTATGCATGTCTCTGTCTCTCACCCGCCATGCGGCTCCCTGCCTGGGACTGGTGGCCTGCTGCAACCACTCGGGGAACTGTGCCGTCCCTGCCTGGGACTGGCTGCTCCCGGTACCTGCTACCCACTCTCTGCCGCCACTTCATGGACCTGTGGTGTGGTCTTGGGACCCACTATCCATGGCCTGCCACCACTTCAGGGACCTGCAGTGTGGTCTCATGGCCCACTGCCTGCTGCAGTCACTTGGGGGTCTGCAGAATTTTATTTAAACCCTAACAGGAACCACTTCAAAGGTAGGAATCAGGTGAATGGAAATCTGCCTTACAAAGAGAAATGAAGTGAGGTGCCCTTACTGTGTGTGAAGGTGGAAGGTGATAAACTCACACATATGTTCAGTGAATCGCCTTAAGCAAGGGCCAAGCACTACTCTGTCATGGGAGGACCTACCCAGGCCTCCTCTTCAGCGACGAGAACTGAAATGGGAAAAATAAAATGCTGCCGATCCCTGGCGACTGCAGTGGCAGAAATACTGCAGGTTCCCAAGCAGTGGCAGCAGACCATGTGGCATCAGGCAGGGGGTTCCGAGAGCAGCCAGTCCCAGGCAGGGATGGCACAGTTCCCCTAGTGGCTGCAGCAGGCCACGAGGAGAGACAGACAGATGGGCATGCCACGAGACCATGCCACGGTCTCTGAATGGGGGCAGGCAGGCAGCGGGCCCCAGAGCAGCCAGTCCTAGGCAGGGATGGGACAGTTCCCACACCGCAGGTCTCTGAAAGCGGCTGGTCCTGGGCAGCAGGCAAAAGACAGCCAGATAGGCACATCATGCAGAGTGAAGTTGGGTATTTATTCAGTGGGTTATGGAGGGAAAAGGAAAAAGAGCAGAGAGAAGGGGGGAAGGGGAGAAGTGGGGAGAGGCAGAAGCTGCCTCTTCAAGAGGGAGATGGAAAAGGAAGAGAGTCAGGCTGCAAGCAGGAAGGAAGATCTGCCTGTCTCAGTGGATGGGGGAGGGAGTGGGCGTGGCTTGTCTCTTAAAGGGACAGGACAGATCATTACAAGAGCAGTATTTCAGTGACCATCTGAACATGATGAGGTGGATGGACTTTTCCCTCCAAGGCCATGGCTATCCAAAACCATTAATTAGCATGTATCCACTTACATTTCTGGAATGCATCCACCTGAAACACCTTTTTTTTTTTTAAAAAAAATGAAGTATTCTATAGAATGGGAGTGTTTCAGTAGTCACAATATGACCCCCTTGGTAAACCACACGGGTGGCCCATGCCTGTGATCCCAGCTTGTGTGAGGATTGCCACAACTTTGAAGTCAGTCTGGTGTGTTGGGAGTTCCAGGCCAGGGCTTTAAAAAGAGACTGTTGTGGCTTGAATGAGAAATAGGCTCAGGTATTTGAATACTTGCTCCCCAGTTGGCAGACTGACTGTAGAGGATGGAGTCTCTTGCTGGAGGAAGTGAGTCTCTGGGGCGAGCTTTGAGAGTGCACAGCCTCCTCTCGCTTCTGCTTGCTCTCTCTGCTTCCTGCGCCTAGTGTCTGCCCTGCCAGTTGCTGTCGTGCCTCCCTGCCATTATGGACTCTCCTTCTGAAACTATAAGCCCAAATAAATTCTTTCTTTTTAAGTTGCCTTGGTCATGGTATTTTATGGCAGCAAGAGAAAAGTGATTGATACAGAAGGCCTTTCCTCAAGCAAGCAAGCATACAAGCAAAATTACTATTTTGTCTTGTGATGGGGTAGGTCACATGGTTCATTCACATTTGTGAAAGAAAGAAACACATTATGCTCACCCAGGTATGTTGCTACATGACTGTATTCCCAGCACTTTGAGAAACTGAGGTAGAAAGATCAGGAATTCCAGGCAAGCCTGGGCTACTTAACAAGACACCCAGAGATAAAAAGAAAAAGAAATGAAAGGAAAACTGTAAAAAAAAAAGTGAGCTATCATTTGCTGACAATGAGAATGTGACATTTAGGATAACTTCAGAGAAATCAATACTTTACACCACATCAAAAGGATTGCGTGACTATGATCAGCCAGTGTTTGCAAAGCACTGTGGGAGGTTGTTGGGGTCTAGCCTCAACAAAAATACCCTTTCCAGAGTGGAGGTGTGGGAATTTAGAAATATAATAAAGAATGCGAAGACACGAGCAAAAACAATAAAATGCAGAAACATATAGGATAGTATCGGGAGGGAAATTTTCAGTGAGTACTGAAAATTCATCTGTGTTTAATTTCCAACTGGTTAATATATCCCTGACCCCAAAGCATAGCAGCAAAACAAAAGACTACATTAACATACAAATTGAAAGTCACGGGCTACATTCATCACGCATGCCCTAGATTCACACCCTAGACCAAACACTTTGTAGGCAAACCACTCCCTGGGTATTTCCATAAAGGGAACTGGAATTGAGTTGGATCCTTAGACTTTTGTTTTAGGTAGGAATCTACTACTTCCCTATTTCGGGAGCACCAGAGCTGGCAACTAGCCACACCTGGTGATGGTAGCCTTGAGAGAGCAGAACTCTAATTTATAACTAGGTGGGACCTTTGTTTGAGTGAGAGGCACAATAACCTTGAATACACTAAAAACAAGTCCCAAACTCTCTGACCTTTGGCCTCTTTGGGTCTCCACTGGAGGTGGGATGCAGGATGTGAAGTCTGCCAGCATCAGAATTTGGTTTTATTATCTCAGTAATCATAGGAATTAGGTGGGACTGGAAGCTGTGACCTTTTGGACATGACGTTCGGTGTGTGTGAGTGTGTTCGGGGGTGTTTCCAAACCACAGTCCTTCATCCAGAGTCTGGGATCATCCGGAGTCTTTGGTATCTCTAAATGTCACAGTGAAATTGCAGGTGTGCACCTCCTCGGCCCCCTCTTGCTGTCTGAAGCCTCTCAGAGACCTGAGCACTGGGATGGTCAGACAAAGCCCCTCAGAGTTGCTCCCCACACCCACCCTGTGCTCCTCAGCATGCTCTTTCTCTTAAATGGGAGCCAGCCAATGGACTTCTGCATGGGTTTGAAGAATTCACCATTGCCTAATGTTGTGTCTTCTACAAACCAGACAAGCAGCTGGCCCAGTCTGTAGAACACAGGGCTGACACTCCAGCTTGGAGAGGAATGGGTTTCCTTGGTCCCTCAGCACCTCTGTCCTCTTGTCCTCTTTCAATCAGGCAACCGAGAGCCCCAGGGGCTCAGGGTGGCACTGTTTGGGGAGATGACCTCAGATAAGGTCACCATTCAGGGTGTGGAAGCTGACCCTTCACCCAGCTGGAGAATTGGGCTGTAGCACATGTAATGATCTGTTCTGTCCCTTTAAGAGCCAAGTCCCGCCCATTCCCTCCCCTGATCACTGAAGCAGGCAGATCTTTCTTCCTGCTTGCAGCCTGAGTCCCTTCCTTTTCCACCTCTCTCTCAAAAAGGCAATTTCTGCCTTGCTCTTTTCTCCCCACTTCTCCTCTCCCCCCCTCTGCCTCTCTGTTCTTCTGCCCTTCTCTCTTCCCCCTCCATAACCCACTAAATAAATATTCAACCTTACTCTGCCTGGTGTGCCTATCTGTCTGTCTCTTGCCCGCAGCATTGCTCCCCGCCCGGGACCAATAGCCTTCAGAGACCTGTGGCATGGTCTCATGGCATGCCCATC